TTATATTACTGATAAAAAGAGCGCAGCACCTGCCCCCACCTTTGCTACTGCCACTGAGAGAGGAGATGAGCCTAAAGTCGGCCTTTGTCTTTTTTTTCTCAGGGACCAATTATCCCTTTCCCGACACCAGCCTGGACCTGTGTTTATCCAGGGGTTTAAGAATCCTGCCTATTTCTAAGTAAAAAAAATTCTTCTCTAAACCAAGTTTTGGTCAGAACACAAAGTTGGGAAAATAAAGGTAGAGCAAAACAAAGGAAAAGCAAAAGAATACATTCTACTGTAGATCACTTTTTTTAAAAACAAGGAAATCAAGTAACCCATGAAACTGAAAGAGTATACACATACTGACTCTAATTTTAGATTGAGGGGGCAGGGTATTTAGAGTAATTCAGAGAAAGAAAAACTATTTGAGAAAGAAAGCCAATATTTATGTCTATCGTGAGTTAAAGACACATTTGACCTATACCCAGTTAACAATTTAGGAATCCTATGAAGCATACACTTTGGAAAGTGATGGATTCAGAAGAGAACTTTGTCAGTGGTGACAGAGAGGAGGTCTCTGAATATTAATCTGCTCTATACAGAGTGCCAATCCTAGTGTCTTCTATGAGGAAGAAAAAATAAATAGCAGCCTGAACTTCGTAAGATTTCTAAAACTGAATATATAATAAATATGGATCACTAACTTTCAATACGCAAAAGCAACTTAAAAATTTAGAAAGCATTATTATTCAACAATTCTTGCATTTTCTAGTATCTTTTATTAAGCTAGACAGAAATTATTGGGTTGGCCCAAAAGTCCGTTTGTTTTTTTCCATAAGGTGGCTCTAGTAGCACTTAGGTGTCTTTTAACTTCATTTGAAACAATTTTGTTAAGATTGTATTGTGACAGCTGTCATATCAGCATGCATTTTTAAAAAAACTTATCAAAATTGGCAAATTTTTGTGTAGCCATTTAAATAGTGAAGGTGGAAGAAAACATGCAATATTTTTGGCATATTATGCTTTATTATTTCAAGAAAGGTAAAAACACAACTGAAATGCAAAAAAAAAAAGATTTATGCAGAGTATGGAGAAGGTATTGTGACTGATCATGTCAAAAGTGGTTTGAGAAGTTTCAGGCTGGATGGAGATTTCTCCCTGGATGATGCTGAACAGTCGGGTAGACCAATTGGAGTTGATAGTGATCAAATCAAGACATTGAGAACAATCAATGTTCTACCACAGGGGAAAGAACCAACATACCCAAAATATCTAAATCAATAAAGTTACTGATAAAAATGAAAACTGTGTCTTTGATTTTATGGAAAAAAAGAAATGGACTTTTTGACCAACCTAACAGTTCCGGTCACATCCTTGGGCTCACTGGGACAAACACTGCAATACTTACCAGGCTATTCTTAAATACATTAAGATTAATCATCCAACAGACCTTCCTGGAAAAAAAAAGCTACGTGGAACAAAAGGAAAAGGCACAGACCTAAGGGTCAGGGAAGGTTAGTTGCAGTCCAGCCTCTAACATTAAGTAACATTTTGATCCCTGCCACATCACTTGAGTGTGACATTTGATATTTCTAAAATGAAGCAGTTGAACTACATAACTTCTAGTTCTAAAATGTTAAGCTGGTTCTATTATCACTTTTTAAACATTTATTTCTATCAAAGTAATAGTCAAGACTGATTTCTAAAGGTTGGTTTCTAAGATTAAAAGGTCAATATAAAATTTTTCCTACTTCTCCTTCATCTATCAGATAGATGCCAAAAAGAAGAAAAAAATCACACCCATTAGTTTGTATAGGAAAATAAAGATGAGATCACATTCCTTTTTAATTAACTAGAATTCCTGTTAATCAGATTTCTATAAATTCATCAGTCATTTCTTGAATCCAAATCAGTCTGGTTCTCTACTATGTTCCTTTCTTTTTTTTAAGATTTTATTTACTTATTTTTAGAGAGGGAAGGGAGGGAGATAGAGAGAGAGAGAAACATCAATGTGCAGTTGCTGGGGGTCGTGGCCTGGAACCCAGGCATGTACCCTGACTGGGAATCGAACCTGCGACACTTTGGTTTGCAGCCTGCGCTCAATCCACTGAGCTACACCAGCCAGGGCTATGTTCCTTTCTAATACCTGTTTCTCTTACAAGTTTATTGTGAAGACAAAAAATAGCTTCTGACCTAATAATATATTATCATAATTTGAAAAATTGTAATAATTCTTAACTTACTAGCTATCAGACAAGCAAATTACTCTTCATTTCAAAATCCAAATGTATAAAATAAAGATAAATATTCTCTCAAGATTGTTGAAAAGATTAAATAAAATACATGAAAGTATGGTTAACTACACAAAAAGGCACATGTTTTAAAGGTATGACAATTATTTATAAAAGTTACTGAAACATCTCATCCCCTAGTTAACAGCATATTTCCTCCAAAAGATGTAGCTGAAAAATAATGCAACTAGAATGTTTTAATCATGCAACTGTTAGGTATTATTTTAAAAAATAATTAAGATATATTGAGCATTTACTATGTATCAGGAACTGTAATGCTAAGGTTCCAGAATGCAGTGATTAAGACATTGACTCCACACCCAAAAATCTCACAGTCTAGAAGAGATAAATAAAAATTATAATGTAATTGAAAGATATAATTAAAAAGCATATACAAGGAGAAGTAACAGAAGGAAGCAATTCATTGTCTGAGGAGGGTAAAGAAGAAGTAGCTATAGCATCCTGGAAAAAGGGAAAAAGTAATTCTGCAGGCAAAGACTGTTTTGAAAGCCTAGCTCAGCCATTTACTAGCTACATGATATGAGGCAACTTAATTTACCTCTCCGGGCTTCTTTGTAAATCTACTTTGGAGGGTTACTCTGAAGATTAGAAATAATATATGTAAAGTAACTGACATATAGCGGGAACTATGTTTTAGTTGTTTTTTTTTTTAATAATCCAAGTTCTAAATGGCATGGTAGGTAGCATATTTTCACTAACGATTAACCTACAGATGTCACCAGTATGGAGGCCATAATGAACCACATCAGAATACTACCACTTCTGAAGTCCATTTTTTAAGAAATGATGTGGTTCCTACCATGTGGTATACTTACCTTCTGGTGAAACATTTCTAATCTATTTCCTTCCCCATTTTTACTCTAAAAAATAAAATTTTGCATACTAACACTCTACTTATTTCCTAGAAGAGTTTTCATTTTCTCCTCAGTCCTAGTTTGGGATATTTTGCATACCCTCTATGAAATGGCAAAGTCCAATGAGCAACTGACAATTCTTAAGATCGTACTAGGAGATAATAAGAGCTAACTCTGGGAGAAACTACTATTACTAATCTAATGACTGACTTATGGAACTAGAAGTAACTAGATAAGTGATTAGAATCTTAAAGTAAATATTTTAAAATATTGTCAAATCTAGCCAAGAGGTAAGTTACATTTACATTTTCTGTCTCCCAAAGTTAACTTTTTTCTAAATGCTCATCAATGAGCTAAGTCAGTCATTAACATACACAAATCTACATGTATTCTTAACTCCTTATTCTCATTTCATTCAAAAACATAATTAATACATTTGAAGTATTAACAGTGAAAAAAAATATGAGCAAAGCCATAAGATAAGGCAGTCTATCCCTAAATTCAGTTGAGTCATGAAATGGTCTTTATGTCAATGTAGTTTTTCAAAACTCAGAATGTGTTCCCAACCTTAAACCATCATGTAAGTTCAGTTTTCTCCAAGTTAAATAACCATGTCTTAAAAGTGAGGACACCGTGAATCAATCAAGAATCTATGCTAATTTTATACTTTCTACATTCAAGGAGATGAGAGTCTCTAAGTCATCCTTACATACATACGTATGTGTCCTGTCAAGACAGGTTATATCTGTAGTATACCCTCCCTCATCTTTACCAGTTTGACATAATGCATTTTGAAATACCAGTATTCTACCAAAATCAGCTGCCTTACAGATTTTCAAGAATCAAATCCTGAGTATGTTTTTAAGTTTTTTCTCTGAGGATCAGGAACTGAGGAGTCACCAAATTGCAAACGAACCTCTTTCTTGAAACACTAATATTTGTAGGGTATTTTCTAAATTCAGAACTCAGATTATATCAATATAAGCATTTCCATATTAACAAAACTACAGTTTCTTCACACAGCAAACCTAGAAATTTGATAAAAATATGACTATTATTGCTCACTTTTACAACTAGAAGTTCCTGTTAATTACTTTAATGCAGTTAAGCCCAATTCCCTCATGAGAGCCTTGACAAAGGAAGGGAAATACACAAAATTATCAAATGTCACAGAGGCAGCAGCTTGAGGCCAGAGCGAGAGAGACAGACAAAAGGAAATAGCAGAAAGAGATATACATGGTAAAACTAAAATGCTTAGAATGCACTGGACCTTGGCCGAGCCCGACCCACAAATAATCAACTTGTCATCTATATGTTCCCCCAAAATAAAATTAACAGTTGAAACAAAATGATCGTGAGCAGGAAACTTAAGTTCTGCATTCATCTGATATTTGCCAGAAAGAAAAAGATCTAAACAGACAAAAGATCTAAACAGCAAAAAGCAGAGTGTGTGTGTATGAATGTGTGCGCGCGAGGGGGAAGGCAGGGATAAATAGAAGCTAACTGTCCTAAAGTCTCAGCACCAATGCTGTTCCGCGCTTATACAGAAGGCAGGGCCATGGGGCCCTCCGCCAGCAAGGGAGATGGCAGGGGTCGTGGATACTCATTCCCCCACCCACCCGAGATTTGGAAGTCTCTGAATATCAGGGAACGGATGGTGGGCATCGGCGCCCCCGGAACCCACGCGGAGTAGATCCAATTAACACCTTCCACGACAGGACTTAGGACCCCGAATTCGCAAAGGGGCGCACAAGGGGGTGGGGCGGCAAGGAGCGCTTCCTCTGCTCTACATGGAGCAAGGAGGCAAAAGGTGGCACCGCATCCCTGTTCCCACCCCGGGCGCATCAATTACCCGTGAGGCTCCTCAGCACCGTCCCGTGAGCCCAGAGGCTCAGGACCTGCTGCACCGACAGGTTGATCATGGAGTGGTCACCCGCCTCCGTCTTCATCTTCCCCGGGGGACGCCCGCCGCCCTCTCCTCGGGCGCCGTGTGGCGGCGGCGGCTGTGAGGCTCCGGGAGCGGCGGCCGGTGCGCTGCTCCTCCAGGCCGCCGCCGCCGCGGGATAAGGCTGCGGGGCGACGGGCTGGGCGCTGCTCCTGCGGCCGATGGGCCTCCGGGGGGTGCCGCTCAGCGCGTCTCCCAGGCAGCCCCCTCCCCGCCGGGGAGACATTGAGGACAGCAGACGGGGGAGGGGAGGGAGCCGGGCGCTCTTCCCGCACGGCCCCCCAGTGACCACTCGGGGTGGAGGAGGCCGCTCTTGCTCCCTCTCAGGGGCTGCCCCGCGACGCCGAGATCGGAGATCGGGCGCGGTAGGAGGCCGAGGTCACGCCGGGAGGCTCGGAGTGATGGGCAGCCGGCAGGTGCAGCCCCCGACGGAGTCCAGCTCATCACCACCGGAGGACTAGGAGACCCAGGATCCGGAGGTGGCTGCGGCAGTGGCCTTGGCGGCACCTGCCGCCAGCCTGCCCACCCTCCGGCGGCCGACACTCGAGGAACCGCCCCCTCAACCCACGGCCGCAGGCGGCCCGCTCTTGCGCGCGCGCACGGGTCCCCCCTCCCCTCAGCAGAACGGGCTGCGCATGCTCTCTCTCCCCCTTCCCGCGACCCGCCGCCCTCCAACACCCCGCCGGTCTAGAAGTCCCCCTACTCCCACTCCCCGGGCTCGGAGCTCGCAAGCCGGCCTGAGCCGAACAACCCTCCCGCAGTAGGGCGGATGGAAGCGCAGCCTGCGTCACTAGCGCCACCGCCGGGCCTCGCTGATGATTGGGTGCTCCAAGGGAACCACCTCCACAGCCCCCGCCCCCAGACTCGGGGCGGGTGCCCTGGGAGAGCTGGAGCTGAGCCGCCCTAGGCGCGTTAAGACCGCAGCGGTGCAGAAGCCCGGTCCTGCGTGGTAGCTACCCGAACTATGGGGGAAGCAAGGGGTGCTAAATCTCTTGAGATGGATTCTGTTAGTTCAGATCTTTGGCTTTGAATGAAATACTTTTGATACTGATGTTTGCATCTTTATTTGAAACGCGTATCTAAACATTTTAGATTTACGAATGTGAGGGGATTTTTTTTCTGAGCCAGGTGACTTAGGGGACTACCTGCAGAAAGTATTTTAAAGATACTGAAACAGAAATAAAACCCTTTTTCATTCTTCCAGTTCTTCCTGCAATAAGAACTTGGGGCTCGTGGTTCCATGTTCCTAAAAACCTATTGGTGTAGGGTTCACCTATATCCTATTCAGCGCTTTGCCTAATTTAGTTTATGCTTTTTTCATTGCAGTATTCTTTTTATCTAAATTGTGAAAAAAAAGAAAAAATAAATAAAAAGAAAGAGAAAAGAAAAAGGGAAGGGAGGGAGGGAGGGAGGAAAGAAGGAAAGAGAAAGGAAAAAAATGTTTGTTATTTCTTCCCCCCAGGACTTAAACTTTCTTCCCACTGTTTTCTCCGTTTCTTCATATGCAACGTTATCTGGAGGAGCTATCTAAAATCCAACAATAACAAACTAATCTCCTTGATGTTTGAAACCTTTTAACTTTAAAAATTAAGTTGTGGCCATAGTATAAGTATGCACTAGTCACCCCCACCCCCAATTCAATCCTTATTCAACCGCTGTGCTGTCTGTACATTTGTAAAGAAAATGTACAAAAGGAAATGAACTTCGTGCTGAAGCTAAATCAAGTATACCTGGCAAAAAGCAGGAGTGTTGAATCTCTTGTAAGACTGTACTTTTGGTGACCACCTTAAAAATGATAATCATATATACATATTTGTGTATATGTATATAGTCGATATACTGATGTCACAACACAGAAAAGGGAAATCTTTGCATCACTGATAGGAATTGAGTCCATACTGATAATGTAGAGCTCATTGTCCTCCTAGAATTTAGAATTAATTAGATTTTAATTAATTAATGATTGTAGAATATCAGACTTAAAAGAGGCTTCAGCATTTTTCTAATTTATTTTATTTTATAGTTAGGGAAGCTAATTCTGCAGAATTCAGTGATTTGACAGAGGTGGCATTTCAAAGGCCAATTTCTGAATTCCTGGACTATTCTTTCTAGCAACCATACTGTGTTTCTTAACTCACTATTACTCTGTAACTTCACAGTTCTGGATGGGGAGGCACAGGTTCATTAATGGTGTTATTAAGAGAGTTAACATTATTGATTATTGGTATTTTAAAAAAGACATAACCACATTTAGTTAAGTGTTCATAGCAAACTGAGCAAGGTCTCATTGAACTCTCACATCAGTGACTGTTAGTTTTGAATCATTTGAGGTTCTTAGTATTACACACTATTATTTAAAACATAGCATTCATCTAAAATATTCAAAACCTGGGACAGTGCCTAGCACGTGGTGTTCAATAAATATTTGCTGAATGAATACTTGAATGAACTTCATAGAAAGCAGTTTTCTTGTTTCACATACAATTTTTTAAAACATAATCTAAGTGTTGATTGCGGAGAAATGAGAAAGTGAGACAGCAATGAAGCCTCTATTCCAGCGATTTTCAACCTTTTTCATCTCATGGCACACATAAACTAATCACTAAAATTCTGTGGTACACCAAAAACTGTATTTTTGCCGACCTGACAAAAAATTAGGTATAATTTTGACTCATTCACATGAAACAGCTATTGTTGTGTTGGCTATTGTCATTTTTTTTATCTGACAATTTAAGAGAAAAGAGGTCAGTGCTCCTGGCTAGTCAGGCATTGAATGTTTTAAAAAGTCGTGTGGCACACCAATTGAAAATCACTGCTCTAGTTCATAATGTGCTTTGATAACCCAACAACCTTCTTCCTGCTTTTCAGTTATATTCAATTTAATAAATATATATTTGACATCTACCATTTATAATGTTCTATGCTAGGCATTATCTATAAGATTTGAAGATTAATAAGGTGTCTATCTCTAGGCTAAATTATTGCATTTAACTTCCATTTGCCTTGATAAGGCTAACGATATCTGCTGTGTTGGAAGCCTATATTCTTAAGCGAATTGAACATTTCCAACAGCCAGAGTTAGAGAACACAAAAGTGAGTTAATGGTAATGAAAGTTGTGTAATGTCTTCCCCTGCAGATTTCAGATGTTGTGTTAATACACCAAACAGGGAACAGGTTAGCCACATTCCTGCCAGAAATCAGGGAACAGCCCAAATGAATGCTAGAGGTCTTTTTTGACCCTATGCCCTTGAGAATAAAATAAACAATTCACAAACAGTTCCTGGTTTATTTCTTACACACAAGTGAAGAAACACTCGTATGTCTCAGGCATCCTATTAAATCTCTAGATAGGGCCCAGAGTAAAGCTTTTAAAATCAATTAGGTTATACAATGATATTGATCCTTTGAGAAAAACATTATCAAGGATATTTTTCTCTATTATCTTTCTTGCTGTACAGTACTATGTAATAAAGTCACATGGCATAGACAAGCTAATTTCATCTTGTTACACATTTCAGGAGCTCTAAATCCTCGGTGGTGGGGTAGGTTCAATAGATTCACTACATGGAAAATATGCTTTAAACACTGGCCCCAGCACTTACTAGCTCTAAAGTAGGAGAAATAATAGTATCTCCCCAGATAGTAATAATCAACAGAAAACTTATTCCTCACGCCAGGCGTTGTGCCAAGTACAATACTATATATTAGCTCATTTAACTTTTACAAGGATAGGTTGAAATTTTACAACACTTCAACTTCTTTTTTCAAATGTCATACATACAACCATACTTCTGCTGGAATCTTGCTTGTACATACACACACATACACACACACACACACACACACACACACAACAAAGAGAGAGAGAGAAAGAGGGAAAAATGAGAACAGTGTTGGTTGTTTTTGGAAGGAGAAAATAAAATTCAGTTGGAAGAAATGACAGAATTAAAAGGAAGAAAGAGCCATGTGTACCATTCTTAAATGTGCACTGCACTGAAATTTACATGTTGAAATGTTTCTCAGAATACCTATTAACATCAAGAGACATCTCCATCACAGTAAATCAGGGAAACAAGATAAAGAGGATTTTGCTTCTGTGAGAGCTCTAATTCTAAAAATAATGGTGTAAAATGACATTGGAAATCTACATTCTAAATATAGTTAGTCTACCTGCCAAAATTAAAAACATTCCAAATTACCCACCTTAACAATTTAAAAAGCTGGAGTTTCTGGGACTAGGAAATATAAAGATATCTCCTGTTTTGTCTCCGCAGTAACATATGGTACACCTAGGGTACCAGACTTCCATTATGGGGTGCTGAGGGATAAAGCTCTGCCCAGAAAGGAAGCAGAGATGCTCTGTAATGGTAGTGGGGTATAATCTCCATCATCAGTCATTGAGCATCAAGGGCATTTTGAGAAGGAAGGACGGGCAGATAACTATTAGTGCCTCTCGCTCCATTTTCTGCTTCATTCTGACATGCTCCCTCCACCTATGCTTTCAAACCACCTACCTTCCAAATTCTCCCAGCTACCGCCACCCTACAATGTAGCTCCTTGTTTGTTATCTCAAATCTGAAATATAGAATACATAATGATATTTGAACTCTAATAATTTATACTTTGATGCCTGAATATGAGCATAAGAAGAAAAGTACTCTGCTAAAATCATACACACATACAAACACTCACAGAAAATCCTGCACTTGGCAACATATGAGACTCAGTTTTGCCCCTAAACACTGGTGTCTAAAATTTACCCTATGTCAAATCCAGTCATATTATGGACAGAATGCAAAACATAAAACATAAAATAGTGCCTTTGAATTTATGATACAGAATCCACACTAGATTCAGTTCTTAAATTATTTAATTGTTGAGCTAAATATAAGAAAACATGCCAAGAACATGCAAAGGCATGCCAAGAACAAAATGATGAAAGTGGTATTTCACTGTATTTTAATTAGCATTTTTTCTGACTTTAACTGAGGTTACACATTTTTATTCATGTGTGTATGAATATTTGGACTACTTTTTCTAGAGACTTTTCCACATTTTTTCTTTTGGATACTTTATCTTTGAGAAAATTGTATATAGGAGTTTTCATATATTTAATAATTTAGGCATTGTTGATGTGTTTTTCAATTTGTCAATTTACTTTTAACAAAAAAATTTCTTTGTCATTCAGAAGTTTCTGTTGTCAGTATTTCTTTCTTATGGTACCTGTCTTTTACCATGCTTTAAAAAGTTTTCCCCACTAGTGATACTTATATCTGACAAAACAGTCATTAAAACAAAGGCTATATAGTTAGAGGCAAAGAAGGAGATTACATAGCAATAAAGGAAATGATCCAACAAGAAGATATAACCCTTGTAAATATGAATGTGCCCAACATTGAAGCACCTGAATATGTAAAGCAGATTTTGAGAGACATAAAGGGAGAGACTGACAATAATGCAGTCATAGTAAGGGATTTTAACACCTCATTGGTATCAATGGATAGATCTTTGAGACAGAAAATCAACAACGGAACTGTGGCCTTAAACGACACACTAGATTAGATGGATTTAATAGGTATCTTCAGAGCATTTCATCCCAAAGCTGCAGAATATACATTCTTTTCAAGTGAGTGTGGAACATTTTCTAGGACAGAACACATGCTAGCACACAAAACAAGTCTCAGTAAATTTAAGAATATTGAAATCATATCAAGCATCTCCTCTAATAATAATGGTATGAAACTA